AAGTGAACCTCCCGGTAGAAGTTCAACCCCTGGAAATTTAGATGAGGAAAGTGTTATCTCTAAAAGTACGTCGACCACAAAGTTGAACAAGAATGGGGAGAGTGGACAGCCCTGACGAACACCACTTGATGTAATCAATTCTGATGACAGTTCGCCATAAGCTCTCACTCGACCAGTTGTGTTCGAGTAGAGAGCCTGTATAAGGTTAATGTACTTCTTTGGTACTCCTTTCAGTGACAAACACTGCCATAGAACCTCACGATCAACAGAGTCGAATGCCGCCTTAAGGTCGAGAAATACTACCATTGTGGGGCGTCTGAACGTGTGTCTGTGTTCTAGAACCTGACGTAGTGTGAATATCTGATCTATACAACCACGTCCAGGTCGAAAACCAGTCTGATTTTCTCTAGTCTGCTCTTCACGAGCTTTAGTTAGGCGTCGAAGTATTATTGAAACTAATATTTTAGACACTACATTAGTCAAACTGATTCCTCTGTGATTGTCACAAGAGGACTTTTGTCCTTTCTTATAGACTGGCACAATCAGTGATTGAGACCAGTCAGATGGGATTACGTCCAGTTCCCAAATTCTACCTAAGACCTCGGTTAATCTCACTGCTAGTACTGGACCACCATCCTTAAAAATCTCAGGAGTAAACCTGTCAGGGCCTGCTGCTCTCCCTCGTTTCAGATTTCCTATAGCTTTTTCAACTTCATAAAGAGTCGGAGGACCTAAATTAACTTGCCATTCAGGTTGACTGGAGATCGTGGGAAACCGAAGTGTGGCTTAAGGCCAGTTGAACTGATCCCTGAAGTGTTCTGCCCATCGATCCAATCTCCTGGATTGAGAGTGTATAATATGTTCATCTTTTTCAGAGATAGTTTCGCTAACAGTCGGTTTCCTAATACCGGTTTCCTTAACAAGTCTGAACAATTGTCTGCTATTACCTATTGCCGCTGCCTTTTCCATCTCTCTTGCTTTCGCTACCCACCACTGTTCACGATCATTGCGTAGGCTTCTTGTCAGCTTGCGCTTAAGCTGACTCCGCTCTTCGTTATCTTCAGAGCCAGATGGAATGAGTTTTTGAGCCATGCTTAGACGAAACATCTATTGAGTGCTTCTTGGTTTTGAATGGTTATTTAGCTATAGTCGATCTGTGATTTAAACTACAAAACAATCATTTCAATAAGCAATTGAAACTATAACACAACAATGCATGTATTAATTTACTTGAAGATGATAACCGACTGGATAAAATGGCGGGATCGTCGAGTTGCCATGTAAATGAGGAAGCTTGAAAAAGAAAACAAAAGATTATGTGTATAATTTAAGTTACGTAATGAGACAATCGACATAATTCAAATTCAGTGTTATAGTATGAACAAGATAATAGAAGTGCCTTCCCTAGTTAAAAACAAAATACATTCACAGCATGGGATATATATAAGCAGGCTTGATTGATGTGTTAATACTTCAAGATTCCATATAATTCATTAAGTTTTGATACTTTCTTCATTGATAACAATATAAAATAGGTAAAACAAAATTGTACTATTGGTAGCCGAACTTTTGGTAATACTAAGTTCTTTGAGCTAATAGACTGATTGAGAAGCTTTAATTATCATTTTGGACAACAGTATAATGATAAACGCTGTGCAATCAAACCATTTCGGTTTAAAGAATACAACACCATCAAAGGTATCCATTTGAAATGTAAATCATCGCCATCAGTATCCTAAATATTAGAACAGACGAAAATTAACAGTAAACAAAAGTATGTCAACCTGCTTTTCTTTCTGTTTTATTATTTATGATCCGGTAAATATTTGCTACAATAAAAGACATCAATAATGTGTCACATTTGGTATACAGTCTATGACATTATTCTTTCATATCTAGAGTAAATCACAATGTTTTCACAAAGATTCAATATTTCAATGAATCTAACCAATAAAGACATGGATTAACCGTTAGGGAGACGCCTTTCCACAGAACCTAGATGAGAAAAGTAGATTTAGGCGCTATTCATTATTGTACAGATTCTGAGACTTAAGTAGACTACTACTAGTTCAGAAGCAGGATTTATCAACTCCATTAAAATGGAACGTTCATATATACCGAATTCGTTTAACCAATAGATAGTTCTAGAAAATAAACTGGTCAAGGACGAAATTACATTTACACAAAACAAATTAAATGATTATTAGAGCTATAAGAGTAGTGAATATTCATAATAGCGTACTTGAAGTCTGGAGAAAAAAAAACATTTAACAATAAAAGAAATTATGAAATTATATAATTATCAATTTCCTTGACCAATATACACTAATCAGTAAATAAATATGAAAACAGAAGTTATTTGATAAACAACCGAATACAACCTGTAAATTATGTAAATCAGTGAGGAGAGATTGTAGTGATTAAATAGTTAAATTCATAAGTCAATATAAGCTAGACCACCATTGAAAACCTAGAAATATTGATTGACCGTTTCGTCTTAGTATGGGACTCTTCAGTGGGATCGTAGATGCGAACGAATGAGAAGTTCAATACTAGGATGAAATGGCCATTCAGTGTTTCAAAATTTTCAATGGTGATCTAGCTTACAATGACTCACAAATTCAACTAATAAATTTTACAGATTGAAATCATGAGTCAGTTGAAGCTAGACCACCATTGAAAACCTGGAAGCACTGGACGGCCGTTTCGTCCTAGTATGGGACTCCTCAGCAGTGCGCATCCACGATCCCGCACCACGTGGGGCTCGAACCCAGGACCTACTGGCTTCGCGCGCGAGCACTTAACCACTAGACCACTGAGCCGGCATCTAACGGTGTTAATGTCTAGCTTCAACCAATCCACGAAGTTGCGCCACCGTACACCATTGTCTTCAGTGAGTTCCTATCTCACAACAGACCTGGTTAAACTCCACTGGTAACGGCTTCTCACTAGAACTTCGGGAGTTTTTCCTGAGGTCAGTCACTAGTGAGCAGTTGATTATTATCAGAATGGGTTTTGTGGAGATTTTAGAAATTTCACAGATTGAAATCATGAGTCAGTTGAAGCTAGACCACCATGGAAAACCTGGAAGCACTGCTGAGGAGTCCCATACGAGGACGAAACGGCCGTCTAGTGCTTCCAGGTTTTCCATGGTGGTCTAGCTTCAACTGACTCATGATTTCAATCTGTGAAATTTCTAAAATCCCCACAAAACCCATTCTGATAATAATAAATTTTACACGTATCTAATTTTGACTTCTTGTAAATTCTAACTCTCATTCGTCTTATTTCATAATAACTGTAATAAATTACAACGATTTAGTCAAAATAAGAGATTAGATTAAAAATGAGGTTATAGGGTTAGATCTTAGAAAAGCATTCATGCAGACATTATTATGATAACCAATAAATTTTTAAAATAAAGACAAAAAAGCGGTGGGAATATTAATTATGGACGACTTTTGAGTGTCGCTAGACTGACTTTCAGAGTGTACACTTAATAACCAGGACCAAAAAAGGGTTATAAACCTGTGTAAGGAATTAAAATTATGATTTACATTTGATGGTCAAAAGTTAGAAATTAGATTTAGGGTTTTCATCATGAATTGACATCAGCTACAATGCGGGAATCCTATTTAGCCAAATGGATGAGTGAATTTCGAGCCAAATTCCGAAACCTATTATCTTATACCTGATTGGTTCGTCTATAAATTATAGTTTCACCAGGAAAACTTAATCAATATATACAATGATTGATAAACGAAAGAAATTAAAGATAATTACTAATGTGAAGATCAAATTAGGAAAGATGAACTATGAAATTAGCTTTTGAGAGAAAGATATAGAATAATAAGAGTATCACAACTAATAGCTTATAGAATTCTTTAAAACGTTAGCTGAAATACTTACCATAGATCAAAGCATGAATTAAAATGATTGATTAGTAGGTTATTTATCTTAAAATGAATAGTTATCTTGAAAGTCTATCTTCTATGTTTATTAAATCTACTTGACCTAACAATAAATCTCTAAACATTAAACGTCACATTCATATTTACTGTTTTAGACGGAAAAATAAACTTTAAACAGAGTCAGTCCGTCATTAACAACGTAGAAATTTGTACATACGTACATCAGTTCAAGTTGCCCCCAAATGCCCTGGTACGGCCGAGAGTGGGGAGAGTCCGCTCTCCCTCTCAGAATGCTCTCACATAGCCACGCGTATACAACCTCTGCCAGGGAAGTCCTACTCACGGCCTTCTCGTGGTGGGTGTGTTATTTACGAAAATGAGAGGAAGAAAAGCGAATGTCCGGCGCTTTAACCGGATCCCAAACCAAACCAATGGTGCACATGGGCTCCAGTATCCTGAGGGAAAAAATGGCGTATGAACCAATCGCTGGTCACCGGCTACCGTGGGACTGCATCTCCTTACGATGCTCCAATGCCTTGTGGATCAGACCTTTAGGTCAAAGGCTCGGGGTGTGGCCCCCTAAGAAAACCACCTGCTTCGATTCGGGCACCCGGGCAGTATCACAGCCCTCACACATATCGAATAAGATTTGTGTGGTGCATATGTATTTGATGCCTTCTTGTACCAATATCTGTTTTAAAATAAATAATAATACCACATTAGCACAGAATCTTAAACAGAACTTATAGTAACAAATATAACAAGGGACTTTTTGTCTAGCTACTAACTCACCCCCACCAACTACTCCTGAATGAAAAGATAAGTATTTATACTTGCTTTAATCGACAATGATAATTTTCTATTGTAACCATGAATCTCATAACTTCTGGTAATAAACGATACTCTTACATTTTGACAATTAAAAAAAATTATATAATTTACTTTCTTAGTTGAATCAATGCTACATTGTAAAATAGAAACAAGACAGAAAAAAATACTAAATGTGCGCCAAAATTAATTACCTGAATTAGTTGAAGTAGGATGGGAATCCATATCGGTTAGGCCTGTGTTGCAGCAGAAACTACTATTATTAGTATTAGTATTATTATTATTCTGAAAAGAAAAGCCGGAGAAGATTCTATAAGCAATTAACACTGAATATATCAATAGAATTATTAAACTGCAAGAAACTCATTAACATAACTCACTAACATTACACCGACTTTAATCAGTGCAAATGTACAACACTTTGAAATTGCCTTATAACATAATAGATCTATTATATAAGAAGTGAAAAGTCAGTAGTTAATAAACGAATCAGATGATAAATCATCTGTATATATAGTTGAGATTAATGCGTTAGTATATGTAATCCAACTATTAATCACCTACCTTTAGCAAAAAAAAGACAAAAAATCAAAACTAATTTCAGTTAGAGATGTAAAGCATTGAACACCGATCTGGTGGTTTTTAAAGCAAAGTGCACACTAAGAAACTTCAGGGTCCTATATTGGGCCCCTGACAACGTCATGTGTACACACTGCTGAAGAGTATCATACTAGGACGAAGCAGCTGTCTAGTGCTTCCTAGTTTTCAACGGTATTCTAGTTTATGACGAATGTGTTCTATGAACATGAATTTAAAGAACGGGATGAAAGAGAAAGTATAATGACACAAAAACCTACTTATAATTTTTCTTGCTGTTGTGATGTTTAACTAGACTTGTTTTAAAGTTCCAAATTAAATTTGCCTGTTCATGACACTACAACAAGCAATTAACACAATCATATCTTATCTTTCAAGAATCTGAGGTTAGAATATTATTAGGAATTTTCCTACTTCTAGAATGACCAATAATAAGATCCATCCGTTGACCGTCCAAAACACTGTGTGGATTCGCTACTGATCGATCATTCAACACAAAATGCAACAATGCCATCCGTATATTAAAAAAAGATACTTGTTGGTCTTTTACTACTACAGGGTAGTAAAATGCTTTAGCAAATAACAAAAATAAATACGAAAGTGTCATTTAACTACCTGACAATAATTAGTACTAATGTTGAATGAGAGTAAGAGAATATCCCCATGTAGGTACAATTACTAGACCGCTATAAATCATACATTTTTGTGTACAGATATAGGCAATCATATTTGGACGAAAAAATATTGAGAGACATAAGTTTAAGCTATTAAGTCATAACTGCAGTAACAATTCATATATATATAACATGTTTATTGAGTGTCGTAGTAGCAAACAATTTATTGGTCCCTTCAACGAATGTATAAGGAGTGTGATCATGAAAAAAAGTTCAATAACTTAATAAGTATATCAAGATATTAACCGGTTCAGTACAACCGATGGGAGCTCCTAAACATAGACTACTTTCTATGCAACACTTATCAATAAGACCCAGATAGTTATGAGAAAACTGATGAGATTAGAATAGGCATTACCCAGTTTTACAGAGATATTTGCACTGAACTATTTTAACTGTTACCGCCTTTATGTAGAACTGAGATTATTACATAACGAAACACTAACTAACATCTAGTTTTTATTTGTTTAGGTAACTTGATATTGACCAACATTTTACTTGATAAGTAATTTTGAAGCCAAATTTCAGAATAGGTGAAATCTATACAATCCATTCTTCAAAATTCCAACTATGAAATAACAAGGTGATACTTCACATCACTTTTATTTTGAACATCCTAGTAACCTTGACATACGGAAAAGATATATATGATCTATAGTCGAGTACATGAATTCAAAATAGGTTATTGAGTTGCACTAATTTAGAATGATGATGGGGTTGCGCAAAATCGTAGACTGATTGGAGTTAAACATTAATACTTTTGGATGCCAGTCGGCTCAGCGGTCTAGAATTAAGAGTTCATACGCGGAACCAAAGGTCTTGGGTTTAATTTCAGAGTGAGGGATGGTGCTTCCAGGATTTCAATGTTGGTCTAACTAAGATCAGTTCGTGATTTCAGATGTTAAAATATTTTGTACTTTTTGTTGGACAAAACCCGTAGTAATATTTCTAGAACAATGTGCATTTTACAATCATGCTTTAATAGTTAAAGGACAATTTTCAGATGTGCTGAGATGGATGATGGTTCAAAGATAACGGACACTCAAAAAAAAACAATGTAACTTAAAAGCTGATCAAATAAATGCATATTTAGTGGATGAGTTACGATTGGAAGCAATGATTATTTATTTATCTAGAAATAGACCAAATCATAAGGAAATGCGTCTAAATATTATCAAAAAAATTCATCCATCTACGAAGTTCGACCGAATTTTGTACATATCAGCCATGAAGAATGAGAATTAAACACAATCAAAGTCGAAGTTTGATATGAGAATTCAAATTTGTAAAGTGATAATTTGAATGACAGAAATCTTCATTAAGGTTTAGTATAAATTCTAAAAAACATTATTAGCATAAGAGGTTTGTGGAAGCTGATGAGCTTTATAGTTAATATCGTGGACGGACCTTAGTTAAACAACCATTCAAAATCATAGGGAACTTGCTGGCAGTTTCTCTCCAGTACGTGACTACTCATTGACTATGATCATACACGATCCGACTGTAGATCGAATGTAAGCTTTCAGTAGTTTGACTGTTAAACGCTCGTTACGAGACCTGGTGCTCCTGAGTCTTATTCCCGAAGGGGTCGAGAATAAGCACTCTCGAGCAATCCCATACTAGGGCAAAACATGTATCCAGCCTCCCCTGGCTTTCTTTTTTTTATTTATTCTAACACATTGGTACAAGGAGGCACCAAATACATATGTGCCACACAAATCTTATTCGATATGTGTGAGGGCTGTGATACTGCCCGGGTGCCCAAATCGAAGCAGGTGGTTTTCTTAGGGGGCCACTCCCCGAGCCTTTTCCACTGCATTTGAATTGGCCATATGGTTTGAGATCATGAAAGTTCTCTCATAAAATCGCGCGTTTACAGCATATGTAATAGAATTTCTACTCGTTTTATGAAGATGAGAACAAAAAGCGTACGTCCAGAGTTTAACTTAGGTTGTTGGATACAGAAGCTTTACTTAGTGTGTGCGTGTGTGTGTGTGTTTATGTGAGGGGGGTTGACTTCAAACGTTCCAAATTAATTAAAAATACTAATCTCAAACGCTTTTAGCCTAACCCGTAACTCATAGAAAAACAAAAACCTGTTTAGAAAGTCCAATGAGTAATTTGAACCGATAGATTAATGCTCTATAATTCACACAACAAACTAGACTTAATAAGAGGATAATCGCCAAAAATAATCCAAACTACAAACATACACACACACACACAGTTCGGTAAACTCAACGAAGTATTGAAATTGCCAATAACTAACATAGATATTCACTGTTTAAAAAAAACTATATCTCTATGTATAAATGAAACAATTACAATATAAACATTTTAAAGCAAATCACACAAAAAAAAATTTTTTTTAAAGAAAAACCAAACAAGAAAAAACAGAGGACACTTACTACACATAGAGTAGATAGTAATTTTGTTTTTTTTTCCGAACAAGAGAAAATAATAATAACAATAGAAAGAAATCAGTGACAGTATCATAAATGGTTTACAAATTAATAATAATAATAATAATAATAATAATAATAATAATAATAATAATGATACAACTATAACATAATGGGTTTTGTGGAGATTTTTAGACATTTCACTGGTTGAAATCATGAGTCTTCAGGAGATACTCCTAGAGTTCTAGTGAGAAGTCGTTACCAGTGGAGTTCAATCAGGTCTGTTATGAGATAGGAACCCACTGTAGACAATGGTGTACGGGTGGCGCAACTTCGTGGATCGGTTGAAGTTAGACATTAACACTGTTAGATGCCGGCTTAGTGGTCTTGTTGGTTAGGCGCCTGGCGCGAGACTGATAGGTCCTGGGTTCGTATCTCGCGGGGGACGGGATAGTGGATGCGCACTGCTGAGGAGTCCCATACTAAGACGAAACAGCCGTCCAGTGTTTTCAGGTGGTCTAGCTTCAATGGACTCATGATTTCAACCAGTGAAATACAACTATAATTAATTATAGTAGTACAGAATCAATAAACTGGAACGAAATGAAAGCTACCAATCATAAATACATTTTTTTTCTAGAAAAAACAAATGTGGGAAACATTAGTATATTAAAGTGTTTTGTTGGACAGTCACCACCTGATAAGAGAAAGAAAGAGAGAGATCACTTTTATCCAAGTTATACAAATAGTAAGAGTAGTAAACAGTATGATAAGATTTATTATCGTTTTTAGTCATAATGTTTATACAATTTCTAATACATGTAAAAACTGAACATTCTTTAGAACAAATACACCTAAGATTATCAACATCATGTTTGTTAAGAATAATAATTTATTGGATATAAAGAAGTTATGAATTCTAATAGAGTTTTGTTCTCTGAGCTAGGTGGTATGGTCTTGGAGCTTTCATCATTCTTCTGAACATCGTCAGCACAAACGTCTACCTGAAGTTACCGCTGGTGATGGTGACGTTCAGAAGAACGATGAAAGCTTCACGACCAAACCATCCAGCTCAGAGAACAAAACTTCATCAAAATCATCCACCTGAGCTGCAAATCTTCTCCACCATCTCAAAATTATGAATTCAATAGAGATTTATTGTTTTCTACAAATTGATCTGTATGTCGTTAACAATTTAAAAGTATGAAATCTTGTAATTAACAACTTGACACAAATTATCCCCAATTGAAATATTTTTAAAGACACTTCACCGATATCATTCAATCGAATTACAAATCATCGTCATTTCAATAGACCCCAAATGCCTTGGTAAGGCCGAGAGTGGGAAGAGCCGACTCTTCCTCTCGAAATGCTCTCAAGTGGCCACGTGCATACAACCAATGACATGGAAGTCCTACCCACTGCCTTCTCGTGGTGGGGATGTTGTTTACGAAATTGAGAGGACGAAAAGCGAAAGTCCGACATTTTAACCGAGTTGGTGGACACGGAGGACCCACCTAGGGGAGTTGGAAAACCGTCATTCCAAACCAATGGTGTACACGGGTTCCAGCATCCTAAGGATACAAATGGCGTATGAACCTATTGTTTGTGACCGGCTACCATGTGACTGCATCTCCTGACGTTGTTCCACTGCCTTGTGGATCAGACCTTTAGGTCGAAGGCTCGGGGTGTTGTCCCTTAAGAAAACCACCTGCTTCAATTTGGGAACCCGGGCAGTATCCCAGCCCTCACATAAATCGAATGGTTCATGTGGTTTTCTTGTACCAATATTTATATATTCAAATAAATAAAATAAAAATCAATAGATTTATTACATAGTGTCATCTGCAGTAAACCAATGCATTGCTTTAGTCTTTTTCAAAACATACTGAATTTCAAATGTCATATATGCAAGAAACGTAATCTAAAACTCTATTTCAATTATCATTATTCTAATTTTTAGTCTTTTAGTTAATTGGTTAAACTTTTAATTAAAAACGACATTCCTTTATTTTCCCATACTTTTCTTCTAGGTATATAGATTTCATTTTGAAGTTTATCTTAACACATTATGTAACTTTTTGTTTTAATAGTTAGTTCATTTCTGTCAATTTCCTATGAAATGTTTAATTAACTTCATTCTAAAGTTTTATAATAAAACGTCGTTTTCAGATGGGGATTGAAATAGCCATGGCTGCTTCAAACTGAGGGACAAAATCTGGTAACGGATTCAGAAAGCTCGGTTAGTTTTGGACAATTTATGTCACTGTTGATGTAGAACAGATATCCGTCTCATAATCAAAGGATGAGTATACCGCATAACAGTTAGCTGTGTTCTAGGTTATGGTTGTAAAAAACAGCACTTAAAAACAGAGGATATTTGTAGTTTACTAGTATTTGATCAGCAATACTCTCGGAACATTGCCCATGTATGTTGGGATCACCGAATGAGCAATCTTGAGATTAAATGTCAGGTACTAGCCAAAGATGGCAAGTAGATTCGTGAAATTGTGAATCTTCATAGACTCATATGGTTGGGCTAGCGTAACCAATAGTTAGAAACTTTGGGTAATATTGTTCAGAATCGTTCGACATGCTGAGGCAGCGTTCATTCCTCGTCTTTTCTAAAATCTCAAAAAATTTGTTTATTCGCTCTTTATGCGTTCTTTTCGAACCATACATGTCATGTGCAATCTTTTCTACTACCACTAATACTGGTCTGACATTTCACTTTGCTGACAAGGTGTGGTAACTTGAACAGGTGGACATATGTCCCAGGTTCTACGTTGAGGTTGACTGACTGGTTAATATATCATTTCGATATTTGTAATGCAACTCCTATATTTGGGGATTAACTATTATAGAGTGGAGTAGTCAGAGAATAAGGATACGTGTATTAGTCAATGAATCGAACCAGAGAATCATAAAAGCATTTGTATTCTTGCTGAGGGGTGTTAGCCACGGACACATTGGGACTCGTAAGAAAAATGAAGTAGTTAAACCACTCAACTAGTCTTCAACTTATGATCATTTTATGCATTAAGTAGGATCAATCTTGAAACAATATTTTGCAAACATGTATATATTAATCAGTCTAATGGCAACAGGATACATTAATACAATAAATTAGAAAATTCTATGAATAAATCTATGGATTGCTAGTTTATATAATCACAATCAGTAAGTCACACATTCAAGTTTAACTTCAAATATCGAACACTGATCATCTAATGAGTACTGTAATTATATAGCTTTATGAATAAACTTGGATGCAGTTACTGAATTAAAGTAACCGCATCCATGGTAGTATTTATTTTATTGTGCTAATGAAGTATGACAAAACTTGGACCGATGCAAATATGTGCCTAGTCTTATGTTGTAACTGACTGACTCGTTTGGCTTTTGCCAACTTACGTCACCTATGGCGAAGGCGAGATATCCTTCTATCAATAAAAGGACGAATGTACTGCGCGGCAGTCCATTCTGTTTTAATTTACGGCAGCGAAACATGGCCATTAAGAGTAGAGGATACCCGTAAGCTACTAGTATTTGACCACAGATGCCTCAGAAATATTGCTGGCGTCTGCTGGGATCACCGAGTAAGTAATAGTGAGGTTAAACGCAGGGTATTAGGGAATGATGGTAAATCAGTTGATGAGGTTGTGAATCTTCATCGACTGAGATGGTTGGGCCACGTGTTACGTATGCCCAAACACCGATTACCACAACGCTCAATGCCGACTAATGTTGGCGATGGTTGAAAGAAAGTTAGGGGCGGCCAAACCAAAACGTGGCATCAGTGTTTGAAGTCACTAACTTCTAGTCTGAACCATGTTGGTAGATACAGACTACTTGGTTAGGGTCCGTGTGATTATTGTAACCAATGGTTGGAGACTCTTGGTGACATGTCTCAGAGTCGATCACAATGGCGTCGGTGTATACACTCTCTGTCTTCCCTTAAACTAAGAGATTAAAATCACTTCATATCTTTCTTTCTATGAACTAATTCTTTCTTCCTGTACAATATCCTTATATGCAATCTTTCTTTTATATATTACCACCACTGAATTAACTACTTTTATGAATCCGGTGTTCATCTTGTTGTGTTAATGAGGTATGGCAACTTGGACCGATGCATAAATGTGCCTGGTCCTACGCTTTAGCTGACTGATTGACTGACTAGTTACTGAATCGAATTGCCGACAGATAACGATAACAATTATAGAGAGCTATTTATTATTATTATTATTATTATTATTTTAAAGGAGTATAACGATCTATCTCTATAAAAAGTACAATTCATGTTGCTGTTGGTTTTTTTCAAAAAAACAAAATTTGCGCTTTCAATAAATAGTAAATATTGAACAAGAACACCAGTGGGGACAACCGAATGTCAAATAAAAAAAGAGTAAATAATGTAGGATGTAATCATTTCAGATGTATTATGTAATCACTTTATTGTATATAAATGTTTGAACATGACTTAAATAAGATTGAAAGGCTAATCGTTTCCATAACGAGTGGATTAATGGATATACAATTAATCTAATAAGATTTACATCATGATAATACTACTTATATGTATTAATCTTAATAGAAAAAATAATAATAAAAATATTAATCATGTCAAAATATTGAAATGTGACAGACAATATCAATGTATACAGTGAAAATCAAAGTTACTAATGATAATCTGAGTTAACATTGATTATGTTACAATATTTATCTATCTCACAGATTGAAATCATGAGTCGATTGAAGCTAGACCACCATGGAAAACCTGGAAGCACTGGTGCAGGATCGTGGATGCGCACTGCTGAGGAGTCCCATAATAGAACGAAACGGCCGTCCAGTGCTTCCAGGTTTCCAAAGGTGGTGGTCTAGCTTCAATCGACTCATGATTTCAACCTGTGAAATTTCTAAAAACTCTCCACAAAACCCATTCTGATTTATCTATCTGTTACAAACTGGATATTTAGTGGATTGATAAGAGTAGTTCTACTTT